TGATAATGCGATTTCCAAATGGAGTAGCATTGCGCGTCTTTGAATCCTTCACGAAACAATTAATTTTAAGGGCTACAAATAAATATCTCTTATCCTAGTTTATAATCCACATACCTTATTCAATAATTCTTCGCTATTTTTCTTTCTTTTTAAAACTATTTTAAGCCAGTGCTTGTAATCGGATGGAAAGATAGATGCGGGCAAATTATTCCACTCCTTTGTTGAACGCATTACGTACGACGAACAAACCATTTGGTTCGAGTGCCTGGCATGTTAACAACAAAGGTTTGTAGACTGGCCGAGAGCCTGGTTGTCTGATGGTGGAAGGGTTTTTTTTATAGGATAAGGGTGAAAGTCGAGCACACAGTCCACCTGATTATAAGTGGTTGCTGTGGCCCATACATATAGACATCCACATCTATTCTTGTTTGCTGATAAAATGCAGATGCGTTGTCAGCAGTGAAGAGTAAGATGGAAACATAACTTTTTACTGGGTGGACCGATTTCGATGATTCTTTTTTTATATGAAAGCTGATACTTCTCGTGTGGTCCCATATGAATTTAATCAAGGTCAGACCAATAGTTTTTGAGTTATTTGAGTTATTTTTAATAACTTATATTGAAGTCGGCTGTACAACATTTTTAATTTTAAATTATTAACTATTGTCTTAGCTAAATTAATAGCTATTTTAACCACGTGTTTTAGTGGTTATCAAGTTCCAGGTTCGAATCTGAACTGAAACTAATACTTGCAGGTCTCATTTTGTTACGGTTTTTCCTTTTCTGACATCAAGATTTTTAGCGTCACTTAAACCAAAATGATGACAATAGACCGCACAAAGCTGAAAGTACTGCTTGTAGAATATATTGTGCTAATGCAGGTAGAAAAATTTATTCCCCTGTATCACCATAAATTCCAAAGGCGACCTTGACCCAGAAATAAGCAGTAGAATATGGTTTTTCGATCTCATTATCTCTCCTTAAGTACGAAAATCAAGGTATAATATATATAGCGGTCATTCTGCCAAATTTCCTCGGTAGTCGTGAGTTTTGTTCCGCAAGTTGTTCCTAGGTAGGTACGTTCAATTCAGACACAAGTTTGTTCCGGTACACTACGAACCAACCACGGACACCAGCATTAAAAAGCTTATAGCCAGAGCATGCACCGTTTACTACGACCTTGATCCTTCGATCTGCAAGAAAATTGGTGACCCAATTGCATAATTTCTCGGAAGGCCTATAGGAAGGAAACTTCGAAAGAAGCGCTTTGTTCCAAGCCCGACCGAAGGCCTTCGCTATTTCTAGACTGCCAACCGCCAAGGCCCTTGGATTCTACTGCCCGCCAACTTATGAATAAGGTGAAATAAAAGATCACCAGCCGAGCCACTCCGACGTATACCTTAGTGGTGGTCACTAATTAGCTGGTGAAACTCGAAGTTACTCATGAGTTGGCAGTTTACAGTGGACTTCATTATTTTGGAGAACAACGAGGTGATGGCGATAGGCCGAGGTTACCTTACCATGAGGTCGGGGACCTAAAAATTTTATGTTTGTTTAAAAATATATTTAATATTTCTTATCCCTTATGTCTTTAAACATTTTTTTTATTATAGGAGAGGTGGCAAACGAGCATGCGGCTCACCTGATGGTAAGTGACTACCGCCGCCCATGAACAACTGCAACACCAGGGGAATCGCAGATGCGTTGCCGGCCTTTTAAAAAGGAGTACGCTCTTTTCTTGAAGGTCCCTAAGTCGTATCGGTCCGAAAAAATTGCTGATGGTAATCGATTACACAAGGAGGTCGTGCGAGGAAGAAAACATCTTCTAAATCGCACAGTGGTGGACCGCCAATCATCCAGATGGTGTGGATGGTATCGGGAGTTCTGCCGCGATGTGCGTTCGTGAAATTTGGCGGCTGGGATTAATCCGAACAATTCCTCAGAGCACTCCCCATGGTAGATGCGAAAGAAAATGCAAAGGGATGCAACATCTCTTCGCAGTGCCAATGAATCGAGCCGATCGGAAAGGGCTCGGTCGTCGACAATTCGAGCCGCTCTGCGTTGGATGCGGTCAAGTGGAAGGAGCTGGCACTGGGGATCCCCAGCCCAGAGATGGGAACAGTATTCCATGTGAGGCCGAACTTGCGCCTTGTAAAGTAGCAGGCGGTGTGCCGGCATGAAATACTGTCCCCCTCTGCTGAGCACGCCAAGCTTTTTAGAGGCCAATTTGGCCTTCCCTTCCAAGTGACCACTAAACTGCACGTCACTCGATATGTCGACTCCGACGATACCGATACTGGCTGAGGCAAGAAGGGGAGTGCCTTGAAACTGAGGAGATACGACAAAGGGGTTCTTTTTAGCGGTAAACGCGCAAACTTGTGTCTTCTGAGGATTAAATTGGACTAGATTTAGTCGCCCCCAATCCGAGACTTTGTTCAGCAAAGACTCGACTTCAGACACAAGTTTGTTCCGGTACTCAGCGACGTTTTCCCGAGAAATATTGGCACGGCCGGTGTATAGAGCATCACCAGTGCTGTCATCCGCATAGCAATGAATGTTACCAGTTAGCAACATATCATTGATATGCAGAAGAAACAGCGTTGGTGATAGCACACAGCCTTGTGGAACACCAGCGTTAATAGGCTTGTAGTCAGAGCATGCACCGTCTACAACGACCTTGATGCTCCGATCTGCAAGGAAGCTGGTGATCCAATTGCACAATTTCTCGGGAAGCCCATAGGAAGGGAGCTTCGAAAGAAGCGCTTTGTGCCAAACCCGATCGAAGGCCTTCGCAATGTCCAGACTAACGGCCAACGCCTCCCCCTTGGACTCTACTGGTACTGCCTCCGCCCATCTATGGGTCAGGTAGACCAGAAGATCATTATATGATTTAAATTATATCTTAGATAAATAATGTTTGGTATAAGTTCCCTACACTATTATATTGTCTATCTAATCTTTACTAAACATATAAATAAATTGAAGTGTCTGTCTGTAATATTGAAATAACTTAATTCTCATAAGCTCAGGGTGTTATGCATGCTATTAAGATATAAATAAACATTTTGAAAATCTCTGTTTGTCTGCCTGAGCTAATCTTTGGAATGGCTCACCTGATTGTAATGAAAATTTACGAAGTACGAACAGATACAGAGTTATACCAGTGGGCTTAGATAAGTGGCATCGCTCCGTGTCTAATCCATTTTCGATAATCGATTTCGTATTAGCGATATCGAACGTAAAGTGGTAGACAAAGTGACATCGGCAAACCTAACGCTAAGTCTATGGAGTGTAGAGTAGAAGGAGGAACATCTCTGTATATGAAAAGTGTCCCCAAAAACGTGTCCAATAAGGGTGGCGCTGCAGTAGCATAGGATATAGTAAAAAAAAACCGCCAAAATTAATTAGAATAAGATGAAGAAATAAACAAGAACCGACCAATCCGCTTGGTTTTATACTACGTAAATAGTTGAGGTTTTGTATACTGGCATTTCACTAACTACTCTAGTCATGAAATTTTTTAAATATTTGAATTCAGCTGACTTCACTCCATCTACAACAGCTTTATTCATATCGTAGTTTTTCAGAAGCCAACGCTATTGTGGTAGGTTTTGGAACCTCTATTTTCAGTATATTATAGTGGGACACTTTTTCAACTTTCGCACCTTATAAGATGGTTCTCCTTCTACTCTACAATCCATAGCTAAGTCGAAGCGTTCTTTGGATAAAAAACAACTTCTTGACTATGCTCTCGTAATGAAACGTCAAATTCAAGGCGCGCTAAATATAAACAAACTATTCTTGATAAATTGTTAAAGTGAAGTTTGCTTGATGAAAATGCAGTTAGTGGTGTTAAAATTAACCAGTTAACTAAAGAACTCAAAGGTAAGTTTCTTCATCATCATCATCATCATTACAGCCCTTCACAAGTCCACTGCTGAACATAGGCCTCCCCCAAAGAATGCCACAAAGCACGGTCCTGAGCCACCTGCATCCATCGACTTCCTGCATATCTTACCAGGTCGTCACTCCATCTAGTGGGGGGATGCCCTACACTTCGCCTGCCGGTACGAGGCTGCCACTCGAGAACCTTTCTTCCCCATCGGTTGTCGGTTCTTCGAGCTATATGGCCGGCCCATTGCCACTTCAGCTTACTAATCCGTTGGGCTATGTCGGTCACTCTGGTTCTACTGCGGATATCCTCATTCCTAAGTTTATCACGCAGAGAAACTCCGAGCATAGTCCTCTCCATAGCTCGCTGAGCAACCTTGAGCTTCCTCATCCGGCCAGCAGTGTAAGTTTCTTAACTTCGTAAAATAGTTGTGAGTGCCAAAATTACACAATTTTGCTGGATATCAATGATTGTATAATATTACATATTTCTGACGATTAACAAACGGGAACTGACAGGCTTTTTTTTTCTTTTTAGGGATAATTCTTTTAAGGAAAATAGAACCACGAGTGCGAGTCAGTGATAAACAATTTTCGACCCTTTTAGAGTTCATAGAAAGGTAAGAAAGTATTCACCTACACCATGAAATTGCTTAAATTTAAATCACTTGAGAATGCTCAATGTAAACAATGACGTGAGCCTAACAATCCGTTGGTTATTGCCCCATTCTTGTTCAATTGCAGTCACGGCGATCTATCTAAGGGCGCTTAAAATCCGAGCGGATGGTGCGAGTTGGCGACAATATTAAACTCAATCAGTGGTGAAGTAAATAAATCGGCAGACAAGTTGGAAAAAGGTAACAATTCAACAGCTATAATAATCACTTTATGCTTTAGTTTATCTATATTCACCATCTACTATTTATTATACACTACTTACTACCTACATATTACTTAATTAATTTCGAAGGTTTGGGCAGACTGGAAGTCGAAAACAAAAAAAAAGCATCCCTAATAAGGCGCCATGCAAGTGGTACCGGTGGTGGGCCGAGTAGTCGTCCAACCCTTACGACTTTTGAGGAGAGGGTGTTGGCTATCATGGGAAATTTAACTGTTTAGGGTCAGCCAATCATTCAGGAACAAGATTTCGTAAGTATTGCACTTCTTCATTTAAAATTCAGGGTTAACTTCTCACTTGAATATTTAAATACATGTACCTACTTATATAATTAATCAAAACAATCAAATGCATACCTAGTTTATTGACATGACTAATATCACAACAAGTTTTTTTATATGAAATCGTAATAACTGATGTTGACCCGACCCGGGATTCGAACCCGGGAGAACGTGATTAGCAGACGCGCTTAAGACCACTAAACCAACGAGGCCATTATTAACGTATTACTGCCAGGTATTACTTAAATGAATATTTCATGTCATTTTTTTTTCAAGGACGGATTTAGGCTATATTTTATTAGAAAAACTTGAAGATATTTATTAAAAAGTAAAAAGTAGAGTTTCTAGTCGTAAGGTTCTAAGTAAAAGCCAATTTTTAATAAAAGTATTTTACCTATGATTTAGACCATAGATATTTTGACATGTTTCAATCGATCCTTGAATAAAAATCAAAATGCAGACACGTTGTCACCTCTGAACGATAACACGAAACATCTCGTCACCGTTAAAAGTCTGGTTTTCGTTATTCACTATACAAAATACAGTAGCATAGTTTTATTAAGATGGCTGTTTCATCTCTCAGACTATCATATTAATAATTTTAGTGTCATTTTTACGATAGGCCTCTCACTTAAGTACCAAAAGACCGGTCTTCAGCAACCAGATTCATATCGATTCACTGCTTTATCCGGTCTCGGCAAGCGTAGCAAATATATTGTAAAAAATATTAACCCATGAACCATAATTAAAACCAGATTTCTTATATTAACGCGAAGACTACACATTAAATGAAACTAATTTTTATGGATTTTATCGCGTTTAATTTAACTTTTTAATCCCCGACGTTTCGGGTGCTTTACAGCACGGCCACGGAGGGGACTGAGGTGTTTGACGTCCCGATGTCATAGTTAACTCGGCTTCCTTCAGTTTTTGAATATTAGGCCGCGTCTCCACCAAAGTTTTGTTGCCAACACAACATTTGGAAACAAAACTAGAAACAATGTCGGGAACCGTGTTTCCATTTTCGGCGGCAACATCAAAGGAATACGCTTGTTGCAAACATTTGTTCCCTCGGTGGAGACGCTTGTTGGAAACAGTTGTAAACAGTTGGAAACATAGCTGTTGTTAACATTTTTGGTGGATACGCGGCTTTAGGTAGCCGGGCTAACTATGACATCGGGGTGTCAAACAACTCAGTCCTCACCCCCCCCCCCCCCCCCGTGACAATGGGTGCTGTAAAGCACCTAGGGTTGCCAATGGTCGTAATTTTCTGGATTCTCCCGACAAAACTCTCCAGACAAACAGCTTTTCGGAAAGTTCTATACAAAATAATAATTTAAAATTGCCACGCGCGTTCACGGTCTTCTTCGTCATGTCCCGACAAGACGGCTATCTATTTTGCCCGCTTTAGATCATTTATTCTATTGTTACCTTGCTGTAAACCAGTATTTTATGTTGAAAGGGAAGACGAATGTTGAAAGGAGATATTAATATGGGAGATTGTAACAAAAAGTCTAAGCCATATTGATAGTAATATTGAACGGGTTGTCGAATGCAAACAGGAAGGGGATTTCAGAAGCGCATTTATACCTACTTTGTAACGTAATGTTGGAGTTCCAAGTAGCAATTTTAGCATTGGAAAGTGCACTGCACTGTCCTAGAAATGGAAAGTGTACTGAAAAAACGTCATATCAAAAACAGGTTGGATGGCAAATTCTTAGGTAGTAGAAAAAGAACCTTATTAACGAATGTTTGCGATTGTGATAAACCCTTTTTTGCGTCAAAGCTGAACAGTTTTTAAACGAGCTATTCAATCCTTGTTAAGTTTATATAAAAACTCGCTGTATTGTCTTTAAAAGGTGCAAATTTTATTTACGTAGGAAGAGTTATCCGTATTGCCTGACCTACTTAAAATTTCAAACGATATCGACCATGTTACTTTATATACCGATTACTTTTGACTTCGAGAAATACTTTAACATCTTCCAAAAGACAAGGCCATGGAAAATGACAAAATTTGGGCATATTTTTTTAAATGCAACCAAAACGACTTAAAAAGTTAAAAACTAATATATCATTTGTGTTGCCGGTTCCTGTAAGCAAAGCTTACTGTGAAAGGGTGTTTAGTTTGCTACATAGTTAGCTAGTTTTATATAATTTATATACCGTAGAGAGAAATCGTATGAATTTTGATTTAATAAAAGCTGAGTTAGTAATTTAATTGAACTTATTTCAAGTAAATTGTTTGAATTTTAAATCATTTCCAAATACTACTAAAGGACCAAAATTGGGGGACTCAGTAAAGTCTAATGCCAAATTCATGTGACAACCTAAAATTTAAGTGTAATTAAATTGATTATATGTCAAAAACGTTGTCTAAGTTATCAATGTTAAGTATAAAAAAAAATATTTTTCATACTTATTTCTCCCGACAAAAACCCCAAAATCCCGACATTTTCAAATTTTGTCCAGATATTTTGTTCTTCCGATCTGGCAGCCCTAAAAGCACCCGAAACATCGGGAATTAAAAAGTTAAATTAAACGCGATAAAATCTGTAAAAATTAGTTTCATTTAAAACCAAATTACGAAACGATTAATAGTACCATGCAAAACCCAACCTATAAAATAATAAAATATTATCAGGGCATTTTCGTCAACGTGTTTTTATTATCACGCTCATTAAAATTCAAAAAGCCTTGTAATTATTTTCTAACTTATCGAAAAATTATAATGCAATCGTACCAGTAAACGCAAATAAAACAGTGTAACAGTGTAACTTTACCCAAATAAAATGAAAGAAAAAAAAACAACATTATAGGTAAAAGCGCTATAGATAAAATTAAAAATAACCGGCACCGCCGATAATAAGTTTTTTTTCCCTATAAAAAGAATATAATTTTTTTTTCTTGTAAATAATATTAGAACTTTAATTACACGTTTATTTTAATAAAATATACTAAACATTAAAATAAGTTTTTAATTTGATCTATAACTCAGGTTGTTGTAGGTAATAAAATAAACGTACCCACCCAATATCACCACAGCATATTGGCGCAATGTAGCTGATTCTATAGAGAAAATCATTTTTTTTTTGTAAATATCACAAAGTAATATAATGTTTATAATCACTTAACAGTTGTTTTATTTTTATTTTAAGCGGCACATCTTTACTCTCAACAAACGAAACGCGAGACGACTGTTTGCTGTACTGATGTTGACGCAAACGTTAACATCCTTTCACTCTTTTTACTAACCCCATACTATAATACGCAAAGAGCTCTGCGCTATCCGTTCTATTGAGCAATCAGAATGGCATGCCTAAAGATTCATCGTTCAATTCACAGAGTTCGTTTTATTTAGTTCGATTGTTGTTGGCATTGTAAACCCAACAGGTGACTGTATGACAGAGCGTTGAGCGTCTTTTAAAAATAAACGAATTGAAAAAGTAAAAACATTGATCGATGATGGTCAAAATAATTCCTTAAATTTGCTGATACTTGAACTTGTCGTTAGATGGCGCTACATGTATATTTATACTAAAAGGTATTAATTAAAACATGTTTTCAAAGGAAAGGTTTAGATTTTATTATCAGAAAACTTTTTGACCTTATGGATTTACAGAAAGCCTTTTTAGAATTCATCCTTCCGCTTTGTTCCATAGGTGGTGATGAAGAACAATAATAACTAAGCAAGATAATTAGAGCAACGAGATTTTCTCAGCAATTTGCTCAGTAAATTTTTATGGCGCTCAATCTGATGAACTTGTCTTAAACTTCATAGCACCTGTTTACTGTATCGTTAATCATAGTAAGTAAAAATCCTTTGGTAAGATATAAAACTAAAAGAACTGGATACCCTTTTTACTGGAAATGAGGCATTCTATCTTAGTTCTTAGCGGTGACAACGCATCTGCATTTTGATTTTAATCGGGGATAGATGTAGAAGTCTATAGGCCACAGCACCCACTTAGCATCAGGCGGTGGCTTGTTATAGACTAGGACATGGTGACAGAAAATATTCTTGCATTTTCTCCTGCATACCTTTTTAAGAATTGATAACTAACCCTAAAATATGAAAGATTACGGGCCCTTGGTTACGAGCCCTTGCGCGCTTGCACGCCATAAAGAAAATGGCTTCTCTTTGTGTAAAGAATTTTAGTATTTTTCCGTGACATTATATTGCATGCCTTTGTAATATAACATGATTGATGGCATGCAATTCGCAACGGCCGACATGTTTGTCATATTTTATGAAACTTTGTACGTGCATGCCAATTTTCGTAGAGTATTTTTGAGATAAAAAAAAAACAAATTTTTTACAACGGCATGCAATTTGTAAACACAGAAATGTTCTATTTTATTTTTTTATTTCTATGTAACCCTTTGAGCCCCGTCGGCCGTTGCGAATTGCATGCCATCAATTATTATAGCGTAAATTTGTTCCAACTACGTTATATTACAAAGGCATGCAATATAATGTCACGGAAAAATACTAAAATTCTTTACACAAAGAGAAGCCATTTTCTTTATGGCGTGCAAGCGCGCAAGGGCTCGTAACCAACGGCCCGTAATCTTTCATATTTTAGTGTTAGTTATCAATTCTTAAAAAGGCATGCAGGAGAAAATGGGACAATATTTTCTGTCACCATCTCCTAGTCTATTACCTTATTCTATAAAAGAAATCTATCAAATTCCAGGTCTCAAATGAAATAATTTGTGTACCTCAGATTTTTATAACTAGTGCAGTCAGTGATGACTTAGATAAGAGGGCTATGCTTGAGGTTCTTCTCGGATGATAGAATCGGTAACGAGAACAATGAAATATCCAAACATTTTTTTATTTTTTATTTTTTGAGTATGGGTAACGAGCACGCAGTCCACCTGATGGTAAATGGTTTCTGTTGCCCATAGAAATGAACCTATACTTTCGTATAAGTAGATACTATTTTACGTATAATGAGTAACGAGAAAGGAAAATCCTTTCCACAGTCGAGGCATTCCATATTAGCTCTCAGAGGTGACGATGTCTGCGTTTTGAATCTTAATTTTGTCTGTCTATACGACACAATAATTTGGGCTACGTGATCATAGGTGAATGAAACAAATCATAAATTACTTACCCTAACTTGAGTGAAAAATTTTAAAAATAAAAATTTGTAATAAAAAAATGTTGACTCCGTTTGAAATTCGAACCCGAACCTCAATATATAAGCAGGCATACGACCATTACTAATAAGGTGTGAGTTCTAGCCTCACGAAGCGTATAAACCAGTAGCTTGATAATATTAAATTACAACACAACTTGTAGTGTTACGCTACTTACATATCATTTTACATTATTTTAAATTCATTTTTCCATTCTGTTTCGATTTTCTGCATTCACCTCAAAACTGGATATTTTACATCACCTTTATTTCCATAGGATCCTGTAACGATTTTAAACCATAAGAACACAATAACAAATCATTTCTACTTCGTATTTTCACATTATCAGCACTTTTAAATTGGTGTCAATGGAGTCTACCTTTTTTTCGATCTTTTAGCTAGTTTTCCGTAACTCTACAATCTTGGGCTTTGTGTGGGCAGCTGCGCTACCTTTTTTCCTATATCAATAATATCTCATTTTCCACTTAAATCTTACCGTTTTCTTATTATAAACCTAAAAACCAAAATTTGACATGTTTTGATATTGTTATTTATTTCGTTGCTATAGTAATTATATTCAAATTTGCTACCGATCTGTTGTTCCTATTTCGATAATTCCACATAAATACTTTTTTCTCTTGACCATTTACAAAAAATTTGCGTTTAATTTAAATAATTTTTCCGTTCTCTCTAGAAAGGTATAAAAGCCGAACAATCGGTGAAGAAAGGCAGTCTCGCTTCAGTTCGCGAATTGGAAGTATCTCCTAAAGGCCTTATCCCGGGGCCGCACTGCCCCGGGATCCTGCAAGCCTCCACCTACACGTGAAGTCTTCGGCGAAGCCTTCTTCAAGCGCGGAGCCGCACCACTCCGGAATCCTACAAACCTCCATCTACCTCGGAAGTCGTCGGCAGTCTACTTCAAGCGCGGGGGCCACACTACTCCGGGCGCTACGACTGCTTACTCCAGGCGCCGAGTGCACCTACCGCCGGCGCTACCTTTGGGCGCTGCAACTGCTGGCTCTAAGCGTTGAGCGCCCCTTCTCCAGGCGCTACGTGCGCCGGCTCCGGACGCTGCGTGTGCTGGCTCCAGGCGCTGCGCGCCGTCGCTGCTAAGAAACCTACCTCTACAAGCGCAACCGGCGTGTGCTGGCTTCAGGCGCTGCATGCCGTCGCTGCTAAGAAACCTACCTCTACAATCGCAACGTGTGTCGCTTCGACTTTTAGGCTCCACTACAACTCTATATTCCCCTATTCTCCTACCTTTATTTTTTTTTCGTAATCTAATTGTACTCTCACTTCATCCATCATCATCCTCATTTCATTTTTTTTATAAAATTGTAAATACCTTTTAAAAATTTAAATATATTGTTTTCTGGCTCTACTTTTGTTTTGTTGTACTTAGGTTAGGTTCTATTTCTATATTTTTTTAATTGTCGCTTCACGACATTTGGCGCCCAACGTAAAAGTCCTCTTTCTCTCTTAATTCTTCACCTTTACTGCGCCTTGTCCATTCCCTTTTGATTTAATTGCTCTCCCTTTCGTTCTTAACTCTTTATTTATTCATCCTTTTCATATCTTCCAAATTCTAAAACAACACTTCATCTAGTGTTTCAACTTATCTGGATTATATTTAGACCTACATTTAACACTTCACTTACATTCATCACTTTAATATTTTTATTCTAGAACAAAACTTCATCTAGTTTTTCAACTTATCTAGATTATATTTAGACCTACATTTAACACTTACATTCATCACTTTAATAATTTTATTGTAGATAACCTTCCAAATTCTAAAACAACACTTCATCTAGTGTTTCAACTTATCTGGATTATATTTAGACCGACATTTCACACAACACTTACATTCATCACTTTAATATTTTTATTGTAGATAACTTTCCAAATTCTAAAACAACACTTCATCTAGTGTTTCAACTTATCTAGACTATATTTAGACCTACATTCAACACTTCACTTACATTCATCACTCTAATATTTTTATTCTAGGTAACTTAAAGAGGTATAACTTTTCAATTAAATCTTTATTTCTTAAACTTAACTTTGAACTTTACACTTTATATAAAATTGTTTTTCAAAGCTGAAGCGAGACGATTCATAACTTTTCTAAGCATTTACTAACTGTTAATTTGTATATATGTATAAATATCTAAACATTTATTAACTGCTAATTTGTATATATGTATAAATATCACATTTAATTTGTATATATGTATAAATATCACCATCATTTTCACCTTGTTATTATTTCTTTTAATTTGTTTGTTTGTTTGGTAGGTTAATCTTCACTTCTTATTATTTCAGACACATCTCGCTAGTGATGTTGCTGATCTCTGGCTTTGAGCCCTACCGCTCTGGCCGTTCTTTATCTTTACTTAAGTCATAGCGACTAAAGCTTGCTTAAGATTGATTTCTTTATCTTTATCTTCACGCAGGAGCGGATGACAACTCCTTAAATAAGCCTGAATGTCCTTTCGAAAACACACTTTTAAGAGTGGTGTTTCTTCGACTAATTTATTTTTTTTTCCACGCAGGAGCGGATGACTACTCCTTAAATAAGCCTTAATGTCGTTTTGAAAACACACTTTTAGAGTGGTAGTCATTGAATGTGAACTCCACCCTTACCTGAATGGCAGATGATGAATGTAAGAGATAGTATATCTGATTTTGCCTGGTGATGTCTGTTTCTGCAAAGCTGTGTTTTTATGGTTTATTTTAGAATGTATATATCAAAATTTTTGCTGAGTCAAAAATTTTCCAGGGTCGGGGGGAAAATGTAGTGTTATGCTACTTACATATCATTTTACATTATTTTAAATTCATTTTTCCATTCTGTTTCGATTTTCTGCATTCACCTCAAAACTGGATATTTTACATCACCTTTATTTCCATAGGATCCTGTAACGATTTTAAACCATAAGAACACAATAACAAATCATTTCTACTTCGTATTTTCACATTATCAGCACTTTTAAATTGGTGTCAATGGAGTCTACCTTTTTTTCGATCTTTTAGCTAGTTTTCCGTAACTCTACAATCTTGGGCTTTGTGTGGGCAGCTGCGCTACCTTTTTTCCTATATCAATAATATCTCATTTTCCACTTAAATCTTACCGTTTTCTTATTATAAACCTAAAAACCAAAATTTGACATGTTTTGATATTGTTATTTATTTCGTTGCTATAGTAATTATATTCAAATTTGCTACCGATCTGTTGTTCCTATTTCGATAATTCCACATAAATACTTTTTTCTCTTGACCATTTACAAAAAATTTGCGTTTAATTTAAATAATTTTTCCGTTCTCTCTAGAAAGGTATAAAAGCCGAACAATCGGTGAAGAAAGGCAGTCTCGCTTCAGTTCGCGAATTGGAAGTATCTCCTAAAGGCCTTATCCCGGGGCCGCACTGCCCCGGGATCCTGCAAGCCTCCACCTACATGTGAAGTCTTCGGCGAAGCCTTCTTCAAGCGCGGAGCCGCACCACTCCGGAATCCTACAAACCTCCATCTACCTCGGAAGTCGTCGGCAGTCTACTTCAAGCGCGGGGGCCACACTACTCCGGGCGCTACGACTGCTTACTCCAGGCGCCGAGTGCACCTACCGCCGGCGCTACCTTTGGGCGCTGCAACTGCTGGCTCTAAGCGTTGAGCGCCCCTTCTCCAGGCGCTACGTGCGCCGGCTCCGGACGCTGCGTGTGCTGGCTCCAGGCGCTGCGCGCCGTCGCTGCTAAGAAACCTACCTCTACAAGCGCAACCGGCGTGTGCTGGCTTCAGGCGCTGCGTGCCGTCGCTGCTAAGAAACCTACCTCTACAATCGCAACGTGTGTCGCTTCGACTTTTAGGCTCCACTACAACTCTATATTCCCCTATTCTCCTACCTTTATTTTTTTTTTCGTAATCTAATTGTACTCTCACTTCATCCATCATCATCCTCATTTCATTTTTTTTTATAAAATTGTAAATACCTTTTAAAAATTTAAATATATTGTTTTCTGGCTCTACTTTTGTTGTTTTGTTGTACTTAGGTTAGGTTCTATTTCTATATTTTTTTAATTGTCGCTTCACGACAAACTATTACGGCAATTTACTGATGAAATAAATAATTATCTAGATAATAAAATGCATGTTTTAGTAATATTTGTTGATTTTAGTAAAGCATTCGATCTATTGAATTTTGACACATTATACAATAAGCTATCATGCTGCGGCATTCAAGGACCATTCTTAGAACTTCTTAAAAGTTATCATCATAATCGTTATACCACTGTCAAAATATGTAACCAGACAAGTGATATGTTCGTGACTGACCGGGGTACAGCACAGGGTTCGATACTGGGCCCGACTGAGTACTTGCTATTTGTAAATGATATGGTTAATGCAATAACTAAGGGTTCTATATATCAATTTGCCGATGACACCTGTATCGTTATTGCCGATCGTAGTATGGATGTAGCACAAACTGAAATGCAGGCAAGTTATGACATGCTATGCAAGTGGGCACATGATGTCGGCCTAGTGGTTAACGCTCAAAAAACAAAACTTGTTCATATACACTCATCTCACAACAAAATTACCACTGCACCGACTATCATTTTCCATGGCCATGAATGTCTCCACGGAATGTTTCAACACTGTACTTGTCAACCCATTGAAAATGCCAAAAATCACATGTATATTGGTCTGATTATTGATGAACGATTTTGCTGGAGAGCGCATAAAGATCACGTGTGTGCAAAACTTCGCTCTGTGTTAAGTAAACTTTATGTTTTAAAATTTAAGCTACCATATAATATACTTAGATTACTATGGCTCTAGCAGATTCTGTTATAAATTATGGACTTAGCAGTTATGGAAGAACTTATGTAACGTACATACATGAAATTTACACACTACAACGCAAAATGCTTAGATTGATAGTACCTAAGCACATTAAAAATAAGTATATAGATAATGACCGGGGTCTTTTTAATTATTGAAATATCATAAATGTTTTCGATAAAGTTAAATTTAATATACTGACTGAAGTAAATGATTCAGAATACCTAGTTCTTAGAAAACGACCTGTAAATTTACGAAATATAGCTTATAAATCCAACATGTATGTACTTCCGAAAACTAAAAATTTCTATGGAGCAAGAAAGTTGGCGCATCTTGTACCTACTTTTATTAATGCCTTGCCACTAGAATTACAAAACACATACGGTAAATCAAAACTGTTTAAAAGTAAACTCAAATCATATTTGATAAATCAATCATACTTATTGTAGTAAGTACTTCATACTGGATTATTGTGATTTCATATTAATACATCTTTGTTTTTATAAGACGACTCTCTAGTGTAGATAAACCCCTAGTGGTTTATATGCTAGTATTGTACTGGATAATGTAACATAATTATGCTTAATAAATTAAAAAAAAAATCTTATTATTATATATATATTCCGGGTCGATGGTACAAATGGACGTGCCTCAAGGCTCAATTCTCGGCCCCTTTCTATTTCTTGTATACATTAATGACTTACCTTACATAGTAGGAGATAACCATGATATAGTATTATTTCCAGATGACACTTCTTTAATTTTCAAATTAAGTCGACAATTGCTAAAATATGACGAAGTAAATAATGCTATATCTAAATTAGTAAATTGGTTCAATGTTAATAATTTTCATTTAAATGGCACTAAAACGAAATGTATAAAATTAATGACTCCAAATGTCAAGCAATTAAATACTAATGTAATTTTAAATGGGGAGAAACTGAGTCTTGTAGATACCACCATTTTTCTTGGAATCAAACAACGCGAAGCTTCAATGGAGCCCCCATATATCAAAACTAGCAAGCAGACTTAGTTCTGCAGCATATGGCGTAAAAAAGATTAGAAGTCTAACTAGTGTTGAAACAGCTAGACTAGTTTATTTTAGCTATTTCCATAGCATAATGTCGTATGGTATTTTGCTATGGGGATACTGAAATTATATTTGTTTTACAGAAGAGGGCCATAAGAGCAATTTATGATTTAAATCCTAAAGAGTCGCTGCGACAAAAATTTTAGGAAATTAATATATTAACTTTGGCCTCTCAATACATTTATGAATATGTAATGTACGTACACAAAAATAAAAGTAGTTTTACAAAAACAAGTGATATTCATTCTGTAAATACTAGGAACAGACACAAGCTAGTAGTACCAGTTACTCGACTCCATCGAGTCAGTAATTCATTCTTGGGGCGATGTATACGCTTTTACAACAAAATTCCAGAAATTATACAAATTTTGACCTGCTCAAAGTTCAAAAACTTTATTAAACTAAGTTTGCATATAAAGGGTTATTATAATATTAAAGAATTTATAGATGATAATAACCCCTGGGAATGAGGTGATCGCTACCAAGCTATTTCTAATTTGTGGTGTTGTTAATTTATGTAACATACATGATTGTAAGCTGATATTTAAAAAAGAAGTCCCGCTGGGTTTATTGCTGGTTCTTCCCAGGACAGAGGTATTTTTTTCGAACCAGTGGTAACTATACAAAAGAGTGACTTTCAATAAGTATTATTTATAATCTATATTGAATAAAAAAGTTTCTGTTTCTGTTTCTGTTTCTATTTTAGATTATATTTGTTTGTCAATAGTAAGAGATTATATTTTTATTGTACCTGCTAAACTAATTATGAAAATTAATTGACAGATAGAAATAATAGAATAGGTATTTTATTCGATACTAGCTGTTGCGCGCGACTTCGTCCGCATGGAATTTATTACCATTGGATTTCACGGGTTTTAATTTTTTCGCGCGGAACCCCTAATCTATTTCTAAAATAAAAGTTACCTAGGTTTGTCCTTGTAGTATCAGCTATCTGGCAGTGAAAGTCCCGTCAAAATCGGTTTCGCAGATTAGCTGGAATAAACAGACAGACAGACAGACAACATTTTTAAAATTGTTTTTGTTATAATTATGCATTTAGTTAAAAGCTGTTATTGTGACACAAACAGACACTTCAATTTTATTTACTTGTATATATAGTGAACTTACAAAGATACCTTTTGTAAGTAATTTATGCCTTTACCACTGATTAGGAAAAAATCCCTGGCCTGGAAGGTTTAGGAAGGACAGAGTATTTATAAGCAAGAAAACTAGGGGATTTAAAAAAAATTATAATAACTGTTGTACGATTATAAAGAAAATATAATTATTATCAATTATGAATTCTTTAAAACTATGATACCTGCCTAAACTTGTTTGAATACATTTTGTTTATAAAAGTTGTGAAAAATAACCATCTAAGACCCGAGTGAAAAAAATAAAAAAAATAAACTAGGAAAGTTTGGAGAGCACCTCGTGTCCTCACTCAATTGCGTACCCTATCGCCGCACAACTAATATATGTACACCACTAAACTAGGAAAGACACACCGTCTTCGTAATCTAAATTGAAGGCCATAGCAAATCAATTTTAACGCCAATACACATAATTTAAATAGAAGTGTCTGTCTGTAAATTGAAATACTTAACTGGCTTATATTAAGCAATCAAAAAGGTGATAATATATTGTGTATATAATAAGAACACAATTAAAAAAAGCATAAATAAAAAAAGTGTGGTGATTTATAAAATATATATATGTTTAATCATAATATTTATGTCTGTTATTAACATATTAAAATATCTACATAATATATTTGACTATACTCTATTTGATATTCACAAACACATATACACAAATTTCATCATTCTACTCAATTATGGGCATCCTAAATGCGAACATTAAAAAGTGAAATGTAGTGTCCACGAAAACGTTGTAAAATATTTAGCTGTTGTCTCCGTTTGCTATTTAGTGCGACTTTCTCTTTTTTATTATTTTTGTTGTTTTTTTTTTTACTTTTTTAACAAGAATATAGATAAATCTCCTTTTATTGTTTAATTGCGAAGGAAATCATTTGTTGTAGCTTCATCTATCTATGTATCCCTTGTTTTCGAGTTCTTCCTCAGCCGTCATTTCCAGTAATGGCTGATCATAGGTTCTGTCATATAATACAATCCACACAGCCCTTCACTGTTTAAGGTTATGCTCACTCGTGGACGTAGTGTTAGATCCACAAAAGCGTATGTTTGTATTTTTGTATGTCTAACTACTCGCGCTGTGCACATAGAGATCCGGTGATCTGAGTACGGCTAGCGTCATGGGTGTATTTAAAAGATTTCTTTCTCGCCGCGGCCCCATATATGGAGTTTACTCGGATAACGGTACGAACTACGTCGGATCAAAACGTATATCAGAGTTACACGGCTTCTTAACTTCTAAATATTATAATTCATAGTTCACACATGTTTTAGCTGAAAACCGCATCGAGTGGTCGCTCAACGTCCCCGCCGCAAGTCATTTTGGGGAAAATTGGGAGACCAATATTAAAAGTCTAAAGAGTTATTTATATCGCGTGATCGAAAATCAAATTCAGTCTTTTAAAAAGTTGAGGACTGTACTCGCACAAATCGAGTGCGTTATGAATAGCCGCCCTCTATGTCGTATGCTTTCTAACTAGTGTTGCCCAAATGCAAGAACAAGACGAGACTTAGCAAGTCTTGGTCTTGGTCATGCGCCAATACACCTGGTCTTGGTCTTGGTCTTGGTATTGAGCTCCTAGTCTTGGTCTTGGTCTTGGTCTTGCAGCAAGAGTATAGCAAGTCTCGCAATGACCTATTAGCCTATTACTATTTATTAAACGTTACTTTAGATCTTAGAACAACTTAACAGAGTAGGTACATTGAGGTAGGTAGGTATATTGAGCTTGAATTAACATAGCCATAGTAAAGACCAACCAAATTAATAAATGTCTAAACATTTAATGAGAAATTCGAAAAATCAACTGACACCGGGTGGGGTTTGAACCCACGACCTAAGCGATCCGTGCCGATGCTCTAACCAACTGAGCTATCTACCGTGTCCCACGGCCACGGGCGTCAGTCTGTTTCTAAATAAACGTTTACGTTTAATAACCTTACATGTGCTAAAACATGGTTAAACATATAAAAACAAATTAATGGCAATAACTTCACTGTATTTTAAAGAACATTATCTGTCTAGAAAGAGATTGATGTAACCTCACTATATATGAAATGGAATAAAAGAGTTATACAATATACCATTTATTTAAATAAAAAATAAAATACGATACAAATTAAATTACTTCACACTACACAAAAGCTTTGACGTTACTGTTGCTTTATATTAATTCTTTTGACTAAGCGTTAATACAAAGTAATCATCTTACTGACTCATCACTTAATCTATTTCTATGTTTTCTAATTACTAATGATGCTATAGAAAATAATCTCTCAGCAGGTACTAAAGTTGCAGGTATTGAAAGAAAATCACGGGCCATCTTCGATAAAATCGGATATTTTGTCTCATGCGTCCTCCACCACTTTAAAATGTCTTCCGAGATGGCGGCTCTGTATTTACTTAGGTACTCCTCCAACTCGTTAATAATTAAGACTTGAAGACAAGATCCAGATCCATTTTTACACATTTCAAGTGTTTTAAAAGTGTCTACAATATTTATCAAATGGGTGGCAACATATTCGAGCACTTTGTGTTTTAAAAACACTTACTTCCAAAAGTCGAGATATGCAGTGATCTTATTGAACATGTTTATCTATTAGGTAATAATAATAATAATAGTAAGTAATTATTATAAACCCATATATTTAATGTTATAATAATTACTTACTAGAATAAATTATTATGATATCTACCTATCCTTACCATTATCTAATTACAATATTCCTTGCGAGATTAGCATAATGTATTAATAATACATTATGGTAATCTCGCAAGGAATATTACTCGAAAGGACCCTAATTAGGGTCCATTCTGAGCACCCGGAAACTTATTTTATTCTTTGGAACATGTACTCTGTGGCGGCAATCAAACGGTGTCAAATGTAATGCGTGTGGCGCGTCGACGACGATTGTATGCGATATCAATAGTAGCCGCCAGCACGTGTATATCTTGACCTTGTACTTTCGAATAGCTGCCCAATTTCTTTGATAGGTCAGTATCCGACCTTTGATGACGCCAACAACAAGACGCCGCGCACTATCAAATTACCGATGGTCAAAACTAGGGATGCACTCTTTTTTCTTTTAATGGATATTTTCATTCACTATGTATGTTTATGGTATTGTTCGTAATGCACATAAGTCCAATTTTCCATTTTTTTTATTATATTTTTTTGCGTCTCATAGAGTCCCTAAGCGTATAGGTACTCGAACTCCTATACTCCCTGAAACGACACTCAGTCCTAACTGCAAGACGCAAGAGTCTCGCAAGTTTAGTATTGTCCTTGCGCAAATCTTGCACGATCAGTCTTGGTCTTGGTCTTGCTAAAAATAGGCGGTCTTGTTCTTGGTCTTGGTCTTGCAAAAATGCAAGAACAAGACCAAGACTGCAAGACCAAGACCGATTTTGGGCAACACTATTTCTAATAACTCATCAAAGCCACTAGCTTTGACTCCAGCACATATTTTAAATCTTACGCCTTTGAAGTACTTACCCGATTTGGATGTAGACGATGATAAACTTCATGTTCTTTCACGTCACACCTTATTGCACAAGCTTGTACTCTCAGTTTGGAAGCGTTGAAAAGCGGAATATCTGCATACCTACATTGCAGTCGCGGTAGAAATGGTATACACCAGCTAACCCAATAACTGTCGGAACTGTAGTTATTCCTTCTAAAGAGAACGCGCCACCTCTTCAATGGTCATTAGCTCATTAAGAATCATTGAAGAGGTTTTTCCTGGATCCGATGGAGTAACAAGGATACCTATTAGCTAGTGTTAAGACAGCGATCGGGTCATATTTGCGTCCATTTGTACGTCTCTGCCCTTTACCTAACCAATAGTTTCAATTTGCTTTCTACTTCAAGTTAGTAGCTTAGATTAGGTTTAGTAGTAGCTTTAGTTTGTTTTGAAGGGAACCCTTCAAGCCGAGGAATATATTAGACTTTCGATCCGCCTGGCTTCGAACGGGTGATTTCTGGATCTCGACAACAGCGCCACCTACCGGGTCCAATTATGAATCTAAACCATTCATAGACCAACTCGAACACATAAAAGATTTATGATTGTATGAGTGTAAGATTTATAATTGTGTATGATTGTGATTGTATTTCGTTATAGTTTAGAGCATCGATATATATGAACGTACATATACCTAACTCAATGGTTTAGAGCACGAAGCAATTGTATTTACTCTGTGGTTTAGAGGGTATTAGTTGATATTTGGCTAGCACAACTTCCTTCTCCCACCCCCTTTTTTTCCTAGCATTTACCGAGTGTGAATTAGATCGCAGCGTCGGACGGCCGTCCTCCAGTACTTATATCTCAGCAGCTCATCTTCCCTTCGTGCCGGCCAACGAATTGAATCAATTTTACGCAAGGGTTCTTTTGTTTAATGTATATACGTAAACATTGGACGGCGACACGTAAACATTAGGCTCCGTATTAATTTCGTTTTAAAAATAGTAAATCATAAAGTTTGATTATAAAAACTGTACATTCAATGAAGTTTAAGTGCAATACCTATGAAAAAGTGTTATCTTATAGTGAAGTGAGCTAAAAACGTCATTATAGCCGATACAAAAGTAATATTTTTTCTTGTCAATAAAAACTGTTTACATCTGTATAAACAATCGAAACCCGTGGGAAAAGGTAAAGTTATCAGTGAAAACAGAACTGTGTAAAATATTAGTGCCTAAAATGCTTTCAAGTGAACCTAATTAGCTTTTCTCAACCGTTATTTTAATTTGAACACCAAAGGGACTTTGACCCTAGTGCTTAAACTAACATCGCAAATAGCCAACTACATCTATCGTATATTGCATGAACTATTTTCACCTGCAACCAGCTAGCGCGCAGCACCGATAATAACCGTCACTCCGCGTAATTGCTTTGCTAGTACGCATGTTAACTGTTTCTGGTACTGACGGAAAGATGGCGTTAAATTGCATTAAGTGCAAAACATCCATAGTAAATAAGCAATTTCTTAAGTGTTCAGTTTGTGAAAAGCACTACCACATCGATTGTACTAAAGTATCATTCCAACGCTTTCGAATAATGACAGCGGAAACGAAAAAAGCTTATAGATGCGATCCATGCTTAAATAAAATGAAATCCCCAGCTACCACTAATGCAATATTACAGGTGTCGTTACAAAATAGCTCTACCCAATCCTATTCGTCCATACTAGATGCGTCTACGCCCCTTAATAATACCCTACCATCGCCAGGAAGAA